GTGGCCGGGAGCAGCCACTGCACCCCAGCCTGGGCGACAGAGTGAGACTCCAACTCAAAACAAAAAACAAAAAAAACAAAAACAAAAACAAGAAAATGTTTTTCTGGACTGACACATAAGTTAATGATAAATAGGACATAAGCAGTTGGGATACTCTTTCCAGGATGACCACCAGTAGTATTTTATAAATGACAATGTAACTATAAATAGCACCTATTCACTCAGTCTGGACACACCTCTCCAGGCTCCAGAAATGTGTAAATGGGAGTTTTGCTATTAGAAAGGATTCTACTAAGCCCTGGAAATAAATTATTTTAATCATAGCAACACTTTAATGTATTCACTTCTGTCAAGTTTCAAATAAGGAAAATGAGGCTCAGAAAAGTATCTTAGCCCAGGGCTGCACAGCAAGTTGGCCACGGAGGAAAGACTCAAGACCCCAAAGTACATTCTCTAAGTATACCCACAGAGTTCCTGTGAAGCTGCTACTTAAAACATGCACTTGCTTACATATAAATCTTCCTGTAAAAATGACAGGTCAGATTTGTATGTTTATATTTCTACTAGAAAACTATATCCCATTAAAATACAGCTGACTAGGCTGTGCTCAGTGGCTCAGCCTATAACAACAGCACTTTGGGAGGCTGAGGCGAGTGAATTGCCTGAGCCCACAGGTTCGAGACCAGCATGAGCAACTTGGAGAAACCTCATCTCTTCAATAAATCAAAAAATTAGCCGGGTGTGGTAGCGCACACCTGTAGTTCCAGATACTTGGAAGGTTGAAGTGGAAGGATTGCCAGAGCCCAGCAGGTAAACACTGGGGTGGCCGTGAGCCTGGAAAATGGCGTGAGACTTCAACTCAGAAAAAAAAAAAAAAATACAAGCCGGGCTTGGTGGCTCAGCCTGTAATCCCACGCCTTTGGGAGGCTGAGGTGAGTGGACTGCCTGAGCCCGCGGGTTCGAGACTCGCCTGGGCAGCGAGACCTCATCTCTATAATAAAATCAAAAAATCAAAAGATCACCAGAGCCCAGCAGGTCGAGGCTGCGGTGGCTGGGAGCAGCCACTGCACTCCAGTCTGGGCGACAGAGTGAGACTCCAACTCAAAAAAAATAAAAATAAATAAATAAATAAATAAAATTCATTCATTAGACAACTATTTCTTGAGAACTTTCCCCACGCTGCCGCCATGTCTGCTGGTACAAGGAAGGCAGTGAACAAATTCCACTGCATCCCTGCCTTCATGGAGCTTCCAATGGGGGAAGACAGGCAACAGACAAGTGCACTAAATGCAAAAGGACAAAACAAGGTAAAGAACTAGGTGCTGGCCGGGCACAGTGGCTCATGCCTATAATCCCAGCACTTTGGGAGGCCGAGGTGAGAGGATTGCCTGAGCCCTTGGGTTCGAGATCAGCTTGGGCAACTTGGAAAGACCTCATCTCTACAATAAATCAAAAACTTAGCTGGGCATGGCGTGTGCCTGTAGTTCCAGCTACTTGGAAGGCTGAGGCGGAAAGATGGCCTGAGCGTAGCAGGTGGAGGCTGCGGTAGCCATGAGCTTGCCACTGCACTCCAGCCTGGGCGACAGAGTGAGACTCCAACTAAAAAAAAAAAAAAACAAAGAAGAAGAAGAACCAGGTGCTAAGGACAGGCAGGGTAGAGAGGAAGGGACTCTCTTAAGGTGGCTGGGACAGAGGCCTAATTGAGGCTCTAGAAGATACTGAGATGGAAAAGGAGCCAATCTGGAGGAGAGAGCCATTTCCCAAGAGTATAGGCACAGTATAATCTGCAAGACAAATATAACCATTAAAACAAATTACCTAATAGTCCCAAATCAAAGCAATTCTTCTTTCTCAGGAAGAGCTAGTGTAAAAAAAAACTAGCAATAATCTTTAACCAGCCAGGCATGGTGAGGATTACTTGAGCCCAGGAGTTCCAAGACCAGCCGTGGTAACATAGCAAGGCCTCGCCTCTACAAAAAATTAGCCAGGCGTTGTGGCATGCACCTGTAGTCCCAGCTACTTGGTAAGCTGTGAGAACTGCTTGAGCTGTGGAGTTTGAGGCTGCAGTGAGTCACAATTGCACCACTAAATGGCCACTGCAGCCTTGACCTGATGGGCTCAAGTGATTCTTCTGCCTCAGCCTTGCAAAGAGCTGGAATTACAGACATGTACCACCATGCCCGGCTAATTTTTTGATTTATTGTAGAGATGAGGTCTCGCCAAGTTGCCCCAACTGGTCTCAAACCCTTGAGCTCAGGCAGTCCTCTTGCCTCAGCCTTCCAAAGTGCTGGGCTTACAGGTGTGAGCCTCTGTGCCCACCACCAGGAAACTCTTTTTTTTTGAGTTGAAGACTCTTAATTGGGCATTCAAAGCAGTCATGATTTGAACACAAGTATGACACCATCAGAAATGCTCCACCTGCAAAACCCAAGGCCACTGGAATGCAGAGATTAGATGCCACAGAATGCTGATGGAGGCCATGGCAGCCACACTGACTGGTCCCAGGCAGTGAGAACCAAGTTCTAGGCACGCAGTTTGAGCCTAGACTCGCACTCTCAACCACGGCCAGTGCAACCCAAGAGCCTCTACGCAGGTGGGAAAGTACAGTGGCCAAAGAGGCCCTCTAGCCTAGAAACCCACAGAGGAAAACTTCTCTTAAAAATCACCTCCTCAAAGTTAAAAGAATTCAAAGGTGGCCAGCAACACAGACGGGATATTTCTTAGCCACGATCATCTCCAGCCTAGGGGACAGAGTGAGACCCTGGCTCAAGTCTATAATCCCAGCACTTTGGGAGGCAGAGGTGAGAGGACTGTCAGAGCCCACGGGTTCAAGACCAACCCCGGCAACTTGACGAGACCTCATCTCTACAATAAATTTAAAAATTAGCCAGGCATGGTGGTGAGCGCCTATAGTCCCAGCTACTTGGAAAGCTGAAGTGGAAGGATCACCTGAGCCCAGTAGGTCGAGGGTGCAGTGGCTGTGAGCATGCCACTGCACTCCAGCCTGAGCACAGAGTGAGACTCCAACTAAAATAATAATAATAATAATAATAATAATAAAAGCTTTTAAAATATGAAGAGCTTTCTCTCCTCTAAAATAATAATAATAATGGCTGGGTGTGGAGACTCACACCTGTAATCCCAGCACTTTGGGAGGCCAAGGAGAGAGGACTCCCTGAGTGCAGGAGTTTGAGACCAGCCTGGGCAACATAGTGAGACCTCATCTCCACAAAAAGAAAATAAAATTAGCCAGGTGTGGTGTTGCATGCCTCCTAGTAGCAAAAAACCCAGCTACTAGGAGGCTGAGGCAGAAGGACTGCTTGAGCCCAGGAAGTCAAGGCTGTGGTGAACTGTGATTGTGCCACTGCACTCCAGCCCGGGCGCCAGAGTGAGACCCTGACTCAGAAAGAGAAAGAGAAATCAGGCTCAGGTGGCTGAAGCCTGGGGAACAAAGCAGAATCACAGGAGATGAAATACAAAGGCCCAAGGATAAGAGCAAGGACAGGAGAACAGATTTTTGCCTTGACCTTATATATTTTACCAGTTTCAAAATGTTTTCTAAAATCCTAAACCTTAAGCCATTTCT